AAAAAAAAAAAGAAAGAAAGAAAAAGAAAAAAAAAGAAAAAAGAAAAAAGGAAGAAACAGAAAAAAGAAAACAAAAAAGGAAAAATGAAAAATGAAAAAAATGAAATTGTATATTTAATGAATGAACTTGTACAATTTAACACTTGGAGGTTAATTTTGTTGGGTGAGTCTGCAAGTGAACTTCACTGATGTTGATATTCATTGTGTGTAGTTTTATTTCAGTCCCCAGACTGCTTCCTTTTCTTTTGGAGCTAATGCCAGCCGCGTGTCTAGTTTTGAGTGCAGTAAAGATAGAATCAGCAATTCACACTTCTTAATTTTACATTCTTTTTCAGTATTTTATTTTGTTTCTGTAGCCGCAGTGTACAACAACTCTTCCTGTATATTGCCTTTTTTGCTGGAAAATGTTGTATGTTGAATAAAATTTTCTATAAAATTTTACTTCGGTGAGTGATGACATGGACATTGAAGAAGACTTCTGCTCTTCCTGGAAATACAGTTTGGGAAATGTTTTCATTTGTACGGTTTTGCTGAAGATATTTTTTTCATTTTAATATTGCCAATGTATTAACTGGGTTTGGTCGTTTTGCAGTTTGAGGGGATTTTTGTGGGCGGGGTTGTGGGTGGGGGTGTTTGCTTCCTAATTTTAGCTTAAGAAACAAAAGTTCATAGGAGGGAATCATGTACAAATAAGATGAATGGAAAAATATTTTACTAGTTTGTTTGTAAAGCTTGTAGTAGAGTCTTTGTAGTAGACTAGACTCTGCCTGCCTGTACAAAATTTTGTGATCCAGATTCTCAATTCTAATATTATAAAAGGTGTAAGGTAAAACCTGGAGTCTCTAAAGGTAAGCTCTCTTAATAGAGTGATAGATTCCTGTTGTATTGTGCTCCCTGTATTCATAATCATAAGCGTTCTTAGACGCTTCCTTTCTTCCAACCTATCAATAAACATATAATAGGGGTTATATACATGTTATGGCCTTTATAATTTTTTTCTGAAATTTGGTTCTGGTGGTTATTTAAAAAACACAACTCACCAGAAGCATCAGTTCTTAAAAGTTTTCTTAATTTCAGTTTTTAAATAAGCTTACTCACTTTTATTTTTAAATACTTTTGGTGGTTGCATGTTGTGTTTTTAATCATGTCTTTTATCTTTCCAGTCAAGGTAAATTATTTACTTTATTTTTGTAGGTTTGAAAGTATGATGTGGAAAAAAGTGCTTTAAATGGTATGCCTTAAACAGATAATTGATGTCTTTTGATTCGTGGTTGTGTTAAACTGGTGAAGATTCTGATGCAGTCCGGAGCAATCTAGTCTTTATTGGGTGTTTGGATTGTCTTTTAAATGCCCTGAGTAAATACCAGGATTTTCAGAAAATCTAGGTATTCCATTCAGAAGTGATATACCTTTCTTGAACGGTAGTGTAAGTATAGTCAAATGCCCCACCTCATTCTTTTAAAAATGATTGAATGTTGACTCTCACAATGTGGTAACATTGACCCTTAGCTAAAATCTTACTTCTTTTGTCCTTTAGGAAAAAACATCTTTTTCAGTGTTGTCAGTAAATGTTTTAGTTCTTTCTGAGAGAGAGGGATGGATAGATATTTTTTTTAGGTTTTTTTGGATGCTTAGTTTCACATGCTTTGCTGTTGTGGTTATTGATAGTACTTGTGCATTAACTCTGAACAGGAATTTACGTATTAGAAGGCATTTTGCTTCTCCAACTTCCTTCTTCACTGAGGATTTTGAGGTGACTTTTGGAGTGCAAGTAGTATTCAGGGGCAGAAATCCCTAACACGACAAAGAGGAAGGCAGGGTATTATCTCAGGTGCAGTATCTTTGTTCAGTTTAATAATTTACAAGAATACAATGACATTTTCAAAATAACTAATTTGCATTCTAGTTTATATTTTATCATAGCTGAGTAACAAAAACTGGCTACAACAAAAGCAATAAAACAAAAAGAAAATCATGCCATGTACTCTCATGTTATGCAGGATCACAGCAACATATTATAATAAGAAATCTGAATTGTTTTTATCAAAATAAAAATAATTGTATGTTCCTTAGTGCCTTTATTTCCAGATCTCAAACGCGCTTTACCAAACTATACAGATAGCATGAGTGAACAAAAGTAGTGTGTGGGATGGAAAGTAGCAGTCAACTTGGTATACTTCCTACCAGTGCTCACTAGAGTTTTGCCTACCACCAGCTGGGCCAACTCCTACCTACCATTTCAAAAGGTGATGCATGAATCTCAGATTTATTTATTTATTTATTTTGAAAAAGACACACAGTGCAAATTACTTTGGGAACTCAGTGAACTGTATCTACCTCAACCTTTTCCCTTCTGAGTTGATGCTACTAGATTTGAACCTGTAGTTCAAGAACCAGAGAGCCTTCAGTATTTTAAACCTGAGGCTTGGACCATTCAGTCTGTCCTATGGGTTTTGTGTTGGCTGCAGTAATCAGTAAGTAGATATTAGCTATGCTATGCTTTTTATATTTAACATACACATGTTAGAAACCATATTCTAGAGAAACTGTATGTGTTGTAAATAAAATAGACTAGAAAACACTGAATCTGCGTCTGTGTTCACTCATTTACTTTTATACTGGAAATTATCTTGAGTCAAAAGCTGTTGATTTTTTCAGAAATCGTGACAGCTTGAACTTGATTTTGCAGAACATATTTATATCTTAGATTCCAGAGTTTTTCTGAAAAACTACCTTTGTTATATGAATGGTGGAGCTGGCTCGAAAGAGACCATTGTATTTCATGGTAATTTACAGGGTTTTGATTCCTCCCCCCACACGAAGTGAAAGAAAAGAAAATACTTTTGAATAAACAGATGCCCTGTTAGTGTTTGGTATGAAACCTGGAATTTTATTTCAGAAGAAAGAACGTGTTGTGCGTCTGCCCTGGTGACTTGAAAGCACAAGCATACAGGAGACCGAGGTTCAAATTCATGCTCACTCTGTCATAGTGATCACAGTGAAAACCTCTTGTTCCTGAAGCATGGGTTCCTTACCACCTGGGTTTCCTAGGTGTAATCAGCAGGTGAAAATTTAATTTTTTTTCTCTCTCAAAAAAAAGTTCTGACAAAACCTTAATCTAAACTGGCCTGACTCTGTATATGGAGACAAAACTGTTCCAATTCATGCTTGCAAAAGGCTACTTCTGAAGTAAGTAGAACAGAATTTCTTTGCCCCAACAAGCTGACTCATTTTGAGGCTTGCTTAACTACTGCTCTCATGTCATGATTGTTCTACAGCAGGATTTTGAGAAGAAGAAAATTAGAGGAGAGTTTTTAAACATTTCAGGCGAGGGTCTCATGCAAACTCCCTTGGCCTGTGACATGGACAAATGTCCTCAGAATGAATGCCTCATAACGTGTAACCAGCTAAGTCTTGCACTTTTCACATTACTTTTTCAGATAATTTCCCACAAAGCTATGAAGTACAGGTGCAAATATCTGGCATATCCTAACATCCTGTTGCCTGACATAATTTCATCTGTTTAATTCTGAAGAACCTATACAACAGATAAAAAGTAAAGCAGTAGTAGCCCAGTGAATTGGACTGAAAAATTCTTCTTACTCAATATTTTTAGCATTTTATTTAAATTGGGTATACTAAAACCTCTTGGACATGTTGTTTTCTGCAGTCTCTGCTTCTCCAAAAAAAATATCCCTTTGGAACTAAAATTTCTCATGCTTGAATCTCAGGCTGGAAATATTTTTATGCAATTTTTTTTTTTTT